TGCCGTGAAATGTGTCCTTCCTTCTTGAAATTTTCTCTTGTGCTCTTTAATTCAGTGACAAACTGCTTGTGTGTGTGTGCAAACTTCAGAGTTGAATTTTGCGGTCTCCCAAGATGACTGAAGAGGGCGGGGACGCTGAACAACCCATGGCCAGCATGTTCATCGAACTCTGTCAGCTGACTGATGGGGTACCTTGGACTTTGCGAGGACAGCAAGAACCTACAAGTGGACCGAAGCGCTACTGGCATGAACGCTACCGCTGGGTCGAAATGGAGGAGGCCTTCGACACTGACGTCGGCGAATTTTCACCGCCAGAGGTGCCAAACTTCACCTATGAGGAAATCAATGTCTTCAAAAGCCGAGTAAAGAAAGGTGAGGCTGACGGTGCTTCTACTACCATGTGTAGTGCGCTTGTCCGTCTGCGAGCCGGGGTCAAAGTAGTTGGCTATTCAGCAGGATTGAAATTGGCTGCATGTTAGAGGTAACTGGAGACTAGCACACTCATAACTATCGGGTCGATAAAAACTAGGACCTTGTTGACAAGTCCAGCAATTCGCATACGAGTGGTCACCGTAATTGTACGCTCATAACATGCACTGGCACGGGGTTGCTTGCTGTACCAGATCGCTTGAAGCTCTTCATTAACTTCCATATAATGTTGCATATCGATAGACTGTGCTAGAACGGTAAAGGTAATTCTCGTTTACCCCAGTCCCTCAAATTTACACTGGAGATTCCGTTGCCATGCTCATGTAGGAACACTCAATTGCACCAGTGAGGTTACCCGCTGCACAATCGTCTGAAATGGTATACTCTCATTGCCGTGATATAAAAAGGGGGTAAAAAGTTCGCAAAACAACTGGAGTTTCGCTTTTGATAGTGTCCGGTGCGATCTTCAAAACGCTGTCGCCTGAGAACCTCACCTCTTTCGCCTCTTCCAAATAGTAGTCGAATGAGCACTTGCTGCGTTTCAACTGCTAGTGGTTTGGTTTGTTGTGGGTGAAAACAGCATCTCTTTTTTCATGGAACGTTTTGCTATCCAGGCTCACAAAAAAGTCTTTCCAGCAGAATTTGCTTTCGTATGAAGCTGTCTGATTGAAAATTGTATTTGTAAGCAAAGTAAACAACGAGCGCGGTTACGAGGAACATTTTCATGCCCTCTATGCAAGTCATTTTTGAAAATAATTTTTGTATGAGGTAAAATTCGATACCAGGTAGCCCAGAAGACTTCACAAACTCCCACACTAAGAAGTACCTTGACAGTGTGTGTCAGAGCAAAGCCGATGGCATACTTCTGCTCCAACCCCTCGCATCTAAGCAGGGAACTGCGGTGCTGACACTCGTTTAGACATACCTGCTCGTACAAATGATGTGACCTGATACGACAGTTCGACCGTCGTTGCCGATGATGTCCACCATGTGTTACACAACAAGGTGAAGCAGGCACGGTGACTTGCGCGTGATTTGGTCTAAAGTGAATGCAGACTTGCACAGCATCTACCGCACTCTCTCCTTCCTCAGATGGACCTGATGTAAAGACAATGACAAGAAGACCGGAGCCGGGGGAGGGCGCAGGTGTGTGACCTGGTACACTGTGGTCTATATCGATATGTCGTAAATGAGACTGAATTCAGGGAGAAAAAATCCCCGAACATGCTGCAAATGCCCAAGTGAGGTATACACAAACTTTCTTATTGAAAATCTCTCCGGTTTCGCTTTGTCTAACTGATAATTAAACAAACAGTCTTTTGGCAATAAACCACATCCTTTTTCATTAAACATTCTGGATACCCAGATTCCCCAAATAATCTGCCCATCTGAATCGTCCCTCATACGATGGCATGTAATGAACGAATTATTTTCGCAACGTAAGGTAAAAAAGAGTCGCCGTTATAAGATAGTTGGAACGTCGCCCGGGGAAGTTCTTTTTGAAGATACTTCACATAACTCAGCCATTTGCCCGACCTCTTATTGTCAGACTATTCTGGTCAGCAATGAACTATGGTAGAAAAAATGTGCTTTGTTGGCAATCACGTTTGAGAGGTCATCCGTCGGGGAAGATGGGCCTTAGGCAATTCTATCTTTATAAGCCGCCTGGTAACTGGGTTTAATCAGTTCGAAACCTTCTCCATTTCTGAATAGCAATGCTTGCCAAAACGTTTAGGATGCGACTTAAAATGAATTTTCAGGAAAAAGCAAATTTCTGGGTGCCTACTCGATAGAAAATTTTCATGGACATCTGATGCCTGCCTGACACTTTAATTACTCCGTTATTCGAGTCCTGTATTACTTCTAACAAAGAAAATTGGGCGAGGTTTGGTCCTGCAGCCCCACCTGAATTATATCGTTGGTTGGCTTACTAAAACAACTTGGTCGATGCAAATATGCCGACTCTACAAATATCACATATTTGCACCCCCCTTACCATTTTAATCCACAGTGTGACTGTGCCATTGCCTTCACTCGCTTCCCTGAGCGTGTTCCGAGCTCTGCTTACACCTACTTTCCCTTCCTAATCCAGCGGATTAGGTAAGTTATATAACATTGTCTTGGTTAGTTAGCCATATGGTATCAATCAAGTGGGGCTGCAAAACAAAACCTCGCCGAAAATTGTAGTGGAAGTTATTGCGCTCGAGGTAGTATTTAGCACAGACCTCAGCCTTCCTATCAGAATCAGATTTCTTCAAAGATGCTTTTATAGCGTCTGAGTTGGTAAGAAATGGACGGGCTGAGCATTTCACGGAGGATGTCGGGGTGCGCATGCGCCCATTAGACGCAAGCAGGAAAGGAGTCTGATCCTAAAAATAGTGGGAGTACTCTAACGTCCGGCAATAGCGAAGAGGGGCAGGCATGGCTGCCATAGAACGTGAAACGTATCGGCCGCGTGGAGAGAGCGAAACGAAGAACGTGCATTTACTTCGACTGAGCTCTGGCCTTAACTTACTCCTGCACAGCATGGAAGTGGTTAACGCCCGATCAAAGTCGAGACCGCTGACCTAAAGGGCAGCTGAATAGGTATTCCTGCCCACGAGGACTATCCCCGTCTGAAACCCCATAAGTGAACGGATTTAGAACTCAATAGTGTCCAGAGAAGTTCCCAGTGGTAGCCTTCTTCATTCGCATGGGAGCATGACAGGAAGTAGAGCAGGATAAGAATGTCGACATTTGTGCGAGTTCAAGAACTGTAACTTATGCCCATGTGGGAGTCAAGGATGGTAGATAAACTTCAACCACACACATCAATTCCCTCCAGTCTAAGATCAGTCTGTTTCGTCTAAAATCAGAAGTCAAGAGGCCCTGAGAACCAGCTCATTATGCACACAGCGCAGACTGTCGTGGATTGGCTATTTGCTTGTGTGTCAGGGCAAGCGTCCGTCCGAGAGAGCGTAAGTCGCAGTGTATTGTCTACGTGGGTGTCACATGGCCATGCCAGCATGAGGGAAAGCCAACCTAAGTGTTAGGCGTGCGATTGGTTGGCTTAGGGGCGGCGGGGGCGGCGGGGACGTGATCACAAAGCACGCGGGTGACAGATCAGGCCGTCCGACGCGCGTGCGGTGCGAAAGTTTGTGGGTGCAGTAGTGATCCGTTGCAACTGAGCCAGAGACGCCCAAGGTGGGGCTGCCGCCATGCGTCAGAGGCGCGCCTGCGGGTCAGCGCGGCTGTCACGGTCATCGGTTGACAAAGCGGCGCCGTGAAAGGGGCCACTGGAGCGGCCGCTACAATCACATAGCCCTCCAGTATCTAGCCTCGGACACAACGAGGTCCACCACTGCTGTAGGAATCGGGTCCAGAAATGATTTGTGAGTGTGAATTTGCTTGAGGTGAAGCGGATTTCCGGTGCACCTACCTCATCTTCCCGCATCCACCCTACTCCAATGGCAGGATGAAGTTCATGTGACCGGTGATGTGTTCTTGTGCAGTAGTTTTTTAAGGCCGAGCAGAGAGGTTGAATTTGCAAGAAAAGACCTAGGTTCTAACTCCACACTTACCTAGTTAAATCCAAGGGGTGTCTCGGAACTGAAGCCGGTTGCACCGAGTCAACTTGCTGGTTGACAGCCAGCTAAGTCACGACTGTCAGAGTGTCGCGGTAGACAGAAGACACGCTTTGTTTTGTTTTTGATGAGAAACAGGCTACGTCGACACAGCAGCCCCTCTTCTCACCCCCCATCTCTCCTTGGCAAACCTCAGGGTATACAAGCATCTGCCTGGCGCACGCTGTTACCAGGTTACCTGCCAGTACTTGCGCTCCCTCTGGGTATGCAGGTCGTGAGCATGGCTGCCCAGTCACCCTCGTAGTCCTTCTGAGCCGTTGTGGTGCTGTTATTGTTGGTTAAAGTCCTGCTCAGGCGTTTGTTGCAGACCAGGTGATGTGGAGTGGTACGCCTAGGTGCGGGTTCGGCTGTGCCAGTCACCTGCGCGCTCTCTCACCTCCGGTCTTCCAGACTATGTGGTGAGACCGGGCTCAGGTAGGGGAGGAGAGAGTGTGGTGGATGCTACGCAAGTGTACCCTCACTATAAACTAATTCACGCGCAATTAGCCGTGCCGGTCTCACCTTGCTGTGGAGCGCATGGTGGACATCGTTGGGCACGACGGTCGTAGTGTCGAGTCAAACCACATGCACAGAGAAAGGAGGAACTTCGACGGCAAGCGATGCACAAAGGTAGAGGAGTTTTGAGGTAGGCTGCTCTGGTATGCTCTGCACACTCCCGTATACCTTAAATGGACGTCTAAATCCTTCAGAGGCTTTAATTGTAGCCTTTTGTTGCTGTTTTAGGTCATTCTGACGCACAAAAAATTACAGTTGATGTGCTGTATCAAAAAATGTGATCGAAATTCTGAAATGCGTTTTCGATCCAAAAAGATTGCTTAAGTAGGGTTGCAATATTAATTGTCATGTTGCATAAAACCAAAATAGTGTAGTCACATCAGGGCGCTGACTTCCGACCGCTTGCGTTAATGACATTTACTAAAAAATGACTACTAAAAAACATGAATTTTTTCCATTGATTTCTGATGTCCTTATGAATTTCAATAGATTTTATAGAAAACATACACAAAACGTTGTTTCATTTACTAATTTGGTAGCAAATTAAGTCCTGAAGCTTTAAAAAGTTTTTAATTATAGAAGACCCTGAAACGTCCACTTGTAAAGCCTCGCACCAGCACATCTATTAATGTAACTTATAGAGTGGACAGCACGGTCCATATCCATTACGACAATTTCTGAGTCCTGCATGTCCTCCTTATAGTGGCGTATAGAAGTATATCAATTTTTCTGCACGAAAAGTATGCAATTTGTAGGTCGGAAGCCCTGAAGGGCAGGTCGGGTCCAACATTGTTCGGGAGTTAAGAAAGATTTAAAATCGAATGACGCTCTCCCTTTAATACAAAATTTAAAGAAGACGTAATTGTCTATCAAATTCTTAAAGGACAAATATTTTGGTGGGTGTTATCTACGAAACATTTTCGAATTGTTAA